TAGGTACTAGCAATTCATCCATCTTCTCTGGTTATCTATACTCGGGGAATCAGAACAAATGATTTGAGAAAGAATGAATCAAATTCTCCTATTGTCTTCCTGGGCATCAATCAGTCTCAAAGATAGCAAATCGTAGCCATGAAGAGAATACCAATTCAAATTGAAAGTTATAGTCTCATTAAAAATAGTTTGGATCATAATTATCTTCAAGATTTTAAAATGTTTGAAAATTAAATAATTTTATGAGATTTAATATTCTAACCATATTGCCTATCACGCAGAACATTTATCTTTTCTGTTATAAGGTTTTGAAAATATTTACATTACGTCATACATGGTAGTTGTGGCATTTTGTAAAAGTTTAGTATATAGGTTTTTTAAATCAGTAAATAGTATTACCAATAGACCCAGGTAGAAGTATCATAAATATATGTAATAAGTGCTTATAATGGTTAGCCATGAAGCTAAAACAAATTGACATATTTACCCTGGAGCTGTAGTCTCATTGGGATAAAATAGGCCATTTTAATGTCAGATAACTCACAGGCTGCTACACAATCCCCTCTTTGCTTAGATGTTCATCCTCGAATATGTTTCATGTGCAATATGTAATTAATAATAAAATGTGGGCTATTGGTTGAATTCCTTACAGACCATTACACATGCCATACCATCATCGATTGGCCATCTATCTCTATGGAACATCATTAAATTGTATATCTTCATGTATCAAGGGGCGATACATCACTAGAAAAAACCTGACCTGATCCCTTTGATTCAAAAATACTTTTCTATTCATATTGTCGTGAAAGTTCGTATAATCTTATTGCTTTATTGTACTGTATTGAATATGTATAAATGGATACTTGTCACTTTTATGTGATTGGACTTGGTGTACTATATTTGTCTCATTCTTTAACAAATATGATATATTGATAATTCACAAAATTGTCTTATGGCAAGAATTTTGCAAGGTTTAACTAAATGAAGACCCAGACTTTCGAGATATTGCGATTATAACGACCCAATAATGTTATAACTGATCTTCAGATTACTTTCATCAAATACTGACAATCTAGTTACCATTTTTCCTAAATTACATTTTTTATTTGAAGTTTCTAGACTTATCATTTTTGGCTCAAATGGAAGAATGTGAAAAAGCAAATGTTCATAGTTTTGAAGACACAAATTCAAGAATGTTTAAGAAAGTTGTAGATTCTTACTGATGTTGTCTTAACCTGTAAATTATGTTTATATATTATATACACCTTGCAAGTGTGCTAGACTTTTAACCCAAGACAAAGATAAATGAGGTCTATTTTGTCTGCATCTTGATAGCAATATTTATCTCCACAAATGTTTGGTGTTGTTCTATATGGTTATTACAGCATTGGTGGCATAAGGATGAAACAAGATGTTGTTTAGGTCGATCTGGTTTTCTGAACTTCCGTGTCAGTTCTGCTTTGTTATTTGTTTTGTTTGTAATGTTTAATTATTATTTGGCATTACAACAAAAAACCAAGTCATAAAGAAGCCTTAAAGCATTTCTGTTTACTATTTACTTAGGAACATTTTGGCTTCTGTTGATGTCAGTTTAACCATTGCCATGGCACCTCTCCTCATCATCCTCAATTACATTATACTCAGTTGTCATCTGCACCTGTTCCAATCTGCATATACATTCCACTGTGTTGTATCCATCCTTGACCTTCTCAGGCTCCTACAGTTAATTTTTAGTAGTAGATAAAATGTGGGATTAGAAACATTTTCTAAGGAATCAGTGGGGTTGTCATTAAGCAAGCTAACAAGCTTCTGTTATGGGAGACTATGTGGTATAATATTATTAATGTGGTGGTTGTGGCTAAATGATTTGGTTTCATGCGAGATCACCGCCTTCTAGCACTTCCTTTATAGAAAAATATATATTGCCATTTATTTCGAAACAGAAATATGTGATTAACAGAATGTTTTTATAACATCACATGGTCTTAATGATGACCCAGAATTACCCTTTGAGAGTCTAGCATTATAAACTACACTCTGCCTACTATAGATACATATTAAGGTTAAGCAGCCTTGCCCCCACAACTAGTGCCTATGATGGCCCAGATCATAAGTCATTTCAAACTACCATGCTAACCCTCTCTTGACCAATCAGCGAGCCGGAAGGTACATGTGCTAAATGCACATGCTCGGTAACTATGTGATGATGTCAGATGAAATGACCATGTATTAAAAGTCATATGTATTGCGACAACGAACTCTGATTGGCTAGGTGAGATCAGAGATTTATTGTAAATCGAAAGACTGAAGAAGCGATGTTGAACGAATATAAAGGGTGGCCCACAATGAGCTTCATTGAACAAGAAGTTGTTAGTTTGTCTGAAACATCCCTAATTGAATTGACATTGTTCTGGAAGACAGGATTGTACATCCTAAGATTATGAATCACAGTCAGGCAAATGTAATTACTGTACATTCCTATCATTACCATTCCTTATTATATGGAAAATGTAGATTTATAGGCAGCTAATATTAAACCAAATAGATTGGTTGGAATTTTGAAGTGGTCAGGGAACAAATGTTTAAATAAAGCTGGAGAGAATTTATGTCACTGGATTGTATAATCAATACAGTATGCAGTGTTAGACTGTTAATTTTGAAATGATATACAATATCTGTTATTTAGCTGGTTTGCATCTTGAGGGGATGTTATGACAAATTATTCGCATGTGATAATGGATCTTTGATTGGTTTGTAATTACCTGCATTGGCAGGCTGTAATACATAGGTATTAATACATGTAAGAGCTTGAGGCTGTTTGCTACCTGTATGGTTTTCTATGGTTTCTAGTTGTCAGGCCAGGAATCTTCATTTCTAGTCTTTCACTTTGATTTGATGCCTGTCCCACCAGGATTTTTATCGCAGTTTTTTTTTGAAATGCCATATTGCCATTTGTTAAATAATAAATCTTGTTTTTCGTATTTATATTTTAAAAAGTTAGAGTATATCAAAATAACTAGTATAAAGGGTTCCAGGGTTTGAATAATGATTTTCACTAGTTTTTGTACAATATCTGATTCTATATGGTTAGATTAAGATTATTAAAGACTGAAAAGATAGACCAATCTCTTAATTCACCTTAATAAGCAATTTCACATTTTCATGACAATTCTGCTCTATTTAGCAAGGACCTGGCCAGGTCAACTCTTTTTATCTTAAAATTACTGCTGCAAACCCAGCTAACAGAAACAAGACTTCTCTTGGCTGTATTTGAAACAGTTCCCCTGTTCATATATATTACCTGCTATTAGGTATTTATCATCTTAGAGTTGTTTTGACAACTTATTTGCATGTGATAATTGCACATTAATTGCACATTAATTGCACATCTGGAGTTTCATTGTTGTCTGAAAAAAGACAGATGTATATATTTTGAAATATTTCTGATATTCAGATTTGTATTACTTTAGGGAAAAGACAGATGTACAATATATATTTTGAAATATTTCTGATATTCAGATTTGTATTACTTTAGGGAAAAGACAGATGTACATATATATTTTCAAATATTTCTGATATTCAGATTTGTATTACTTTAGGGAAAAGACAGATGTACAATATATATTTTGAAATATTTCTGATATTCAGATTTTTATTACTTTAGGGAAGACACTATCTTTAACTCTATATGTAAGATGCTTCAGAATTTCCCCTGGTATTAGCAACTTAGCCATCAGGCTCTGTTGTAGAAGCCAAATTTCATTAGACAATTATATAATAATTCATCTCAGATGGGAACCCATGGTATAATTCAATCAATTACAGGATTTGTTTTAATTACAAATCAGAGCTCCTTTTAGAAAAGATCTACATAAAATATGTATGATATGATTTTACCTGGGTATGAAATAACATTCATCATTTGTGCATTTTTTCCGTAAAAAGCATAAAGAGCTGATATTTTAAGGAATCAGATAGTGGTCTTTCGTGAGCATCATTTGAAAAATTGAAATACAAGATATTTATAGTAACTCAATATCTTTGGAGGAAAATATTATCTATTATTACCGGAATATTATTAATCATCTCATTGGCAATCAATTGATGGTATTGACTGGGTGATATTTGTTATATGATTATAGTCATGAATTGTTAATAAGGTGTAATTGGGATCCAGGCTAAACTGATAAACAGTGGACTCTAGGGATTCTGACTAAGAAGGATGTGTAGCATTTGTAGCTTCTTTCAAGATTAAGGAAGCCATCGTTTGGATTACTTTTGGACATGGTATATTAACAGGTATAACCTAATGTTAGTTTATAGTCACTTGTGCGGTGTCATCATATTGGCAGCAAGATAGGAGTCAAAGGTATTTTATAATTTCAAGTTTTGATTTTTGAAAATGATTTTTCAAATTATAGGTTATAGGTGATCAAAATGATTTGAAACCATTTGTTAGGATTTAAAGATGATTTAATATTTAAAGCATTTAAAAATATATGTCTTATATTTATAAGGATAGTTTATTCACATTGGACTGTGACTTGACTTCAAATTCAAATCTGACTTTGGATTAAGACAATAAATTGAAGATAAATGTCTTCATATTACTTGTTTATATTTCAAAAAAAACTGATTAGGTAAATATTGCTTTCATTGTAAGTCCGCTCAATTAAGATGTTTCAAGCTGTCAAAGAAGTATTTTAAATCAATAGATTTCTCATTGTTTAATAGTTAGATATTCACAACAGCTGCGCTAGTTATTTCTTTTTATTTAATTTTTCAGATTTCTTTACGTGGCTAATGAATTTCTCTAATTGGATCATTGATTTGTCATCACAGATGTCTCGGGTAATAAAGAAGCAAAATGAAATCCATGTGAGGGTCTCTTGTATAAGTTAAATCAATGCATTCTGCCACATATGTTTCGAACATCTCTCCTAACAAAGCTAAAGTAAATCTCAAGATATTCAAAGTGACACTCTTGCTTGTTTCAGACGTCTTAGCAACTAGAGAGCAGCAGATATAGTTTAGATAACACGTGAGAATCTACAAGTCACAATGTCGAGCCCAGATCACCAACAGCAACAGCAACAAATCATACAGAACAGCAATGACCCCCAGTCAACGACTGTCACCATACGCATGATAATGCAAGGAAAGGTATGTATTTTCAATCATTCATGCCTTCAATTAGTCTTGTATCGAGCCCCTGTATCGCTGCCAACTCTTAACCCAGGCTTGGAATCATATATTCAGGGAGGGAAGGCTTGATGGAAAACTAACTATTGAAGACTTCAGGCTGATATTGTCACAGATAATATCTACAATCTCAAATACATGTAGTAGTTTACTTCAGGTTCACTATTTTTGGCATTTTGTTACATGACTATATGACTCATCTAGGCGTTTTAATTTGAAGTTACCTTAGTTACAGGTAACATTATGTTACATAGTACATCTTTCTGTCCTCTTTTGACTTGAAATGGAAGAAGATGTCATTGTCTATCACAGTGGGTACTATTGTCACCATAGAGCTTAAAGTCGTTGCCATAGCAATGAGTCATGTATAGCATCAATAAATGGCATTTGACAGCGCCAAGGTTCATTTCAGTTAAGTTTAATCAAGGGGATCTTGGTAATTACCTCTCAATAATGGTATGCTAAGGTCATATGCACCAGCGCCCTATTCATCAATTTGGTCTTTTAGTGGCATTTGTTTTGTGTGAATAATTAAAGGTATTGGAATATTCTTGCACTGTTACAAGAGCATAGCATGAGGAAAGGTATTAGCCGTTGAAGCTCCTAATAGATTTGTCTTAGCAATGGTAATAACAATTTCATGTTGCTAATAAGAGTATTAGGCACACAGTCTGTGGAGTCTCCATACAATGAACATGATCTTTGGATGGATTGAAATCATTTACTTACGCAATGGTTTGTCAAAATAGTGTTATATATAGCTACCATGGAAGTGAAGAGAAGTTCTCTGGGGATGAAATCTCAGTTACCTTATGTCTTAAGAATTAGTCATTTGAAATCTGAGAAGTTTCCTTTTCATAGGGTTTCTTGTTTTTTTTTGGCTACTTTTTGAGATGATTGCATATATGTATTTACAATCAATAGCATATAGCTTTCAAAATAAATGTACAAATGAATTGCACAACACAAACTGACAAAATAAATTTAGAGTCAGGGTGGGGGGGGGCTATCGGGAATTCATTAAATGTTTACACATAGGTATTATAGCATTATTACAAGAATTATCTCACTATGGCATGTTTCTGTTCAATTACACAGATCCAAACTCTTTCACAGTATGTGTGCTACTGTACACATACCTTAATACTTTGGACAGATCGACAGATGTCAATATAAAAACAAATCCGTATAAATATCTGGCATTGGATATAAAAGAGTACATCGAAGTGCCAAGTGCAACTCTACATGAAGAGCCTAATCTGTAACTCACTGCTATAAATGAACTGTTCCAGAGGTGGAATCCACACATAGATTCCTCTTCTTGGTTCTGGTGAAACATATGCCAGGAAAAGTTATGAAACAAGATTTTCTGACAGTTAGACATAATTAGGCAGAAGGTATCTAGTCAGAAATTACACTTGCCTGAGATTGTCTTTCATTTTAGTTCACTAGACCTTACCATAAATCATAAAAATATCAGCAATGAAAGAAAAATGATTATTATGAAATACTCCAAAGTGAACATTCCAAATTGTGATACTTTATTGCTGATTCCGAGTTGTTGGTGGTCCTATTCCTTGTTGACTTTGGTTTCCATAAATAGAGAAGTGAGAATTTTGGGGTTCACATATGCATACTCAGGGTTATCTACAAGATTCTCCAAACCAGTGGTAGATTAGTTGATCTAAAATTGTATGTGATGCTGCTAAAATACATGTATAATGTACAAGTTTTGAACAATAAAATGCTCCATTGTCTCGTCAAAGGGAAGCCTACTGCCAATGAGGTCATATTGTTGTGTTTTAGGACTCATATCAAGTTCAACAAAATGTTTCAGTCAGATATGGAGATTCAAATGGTTTGATTAGGTTAACAGGATATTTCAGATTAACAGGGCCTTTTCTGTCAAAGCAATTTTAGAGTGATAATCGATGGAAAGTAGATGATTGACAGTAAAATCTTTTAAATGATTTGTTGTTGTCAGAGGGAATGTTGTTTTGTGAGTAGAATTCAGGGTATAATAGTACTTGTTTTAATTTGCAAAAAAGGTCTCCAGATTTGTTGTTGAACTTAAAGAATCCTGACCGATCTTATGATTTGTTCAAAAGATTTTCTCCCTGGGGAAACACAAATCAATGGCCTTTTGTAATCAGGCTCTCCCCTCCAATCAGTCTACTATTAGATTTACTGGCTTGTTGAATCTCCCAAGTAACTGCCATTTGTATGCATTGTTTATGTTGTTGATTAGAAAGATTCCACTAGAGAGGTCTAACCCAATATATGTGGTAATGGCTTTAGTGATGTCTTGAGATACTTCGGAGGAGTTATTATACATATGGTAAACATGAGGAAAACATTGAAAGAAACAGAGAAAATATATGTACAATTCAAATATTTCATCAGTTAAAAGGAAATGAGTTGTTGATAGTTAAATATATCCCAGAATCCCAATAAAACATAATTTTGATAAGATTTTGAGGAATATAAAAAAGGTCTGTGCCCATAAAAATGGGGTTGCAATTCAAATACTTCATCTGATAAAAATAAAATGAATCCTTGATTGTTAAATGTCTCATAGAATTTCAATAAAACATGATTCTTACAAGATTTTGAGGAATATAAAAAAGGAATTTTGTCCATTATAATGGGGTTTGACTTGGCCTTGTATTTTTATAGTTGCTATATTATAAATATTTCTGATATCAATTTTGCAGGAAGATTCGACAAAACCCTGCACCCTTTCTCTTTAAAACCATTGTGAAATAAATTGGATCCATAATTCATAAGAATCCAATATGATTTGAGGCATGACCCCTGGTTTTGTTGCATTAATGTAATTTTTAACCAAGCAACTAATTCATCATTCCCTCTTGGAAATCATGGGAGAAATTATTATAACACAATGAATTATTCAAAAAGTCATTCGATTCATATTGCATTAATCATATCCCTTATTGGTGCTGAATTTATAGTAACTTAATGTTTACTTCAACTAAATTTTGGTAGGTTTCATTTCTGAATAGTTTATATTGTCTTCAGTATAATAAATCAGCTTTTAGGTCTAAGGATGCTGCATTCATTGGGGTTTGTTATTATAATAGTACCAAATAATTAGTTTCAGTTTTGTAGTTTCCCTTTTTTATTTACATCAGTGTCATATTCCCTTCCATAATCCATCTTACTAAGAGCATTTATATCAAATATTATTTACATTTTTGCAAATATCAGAACACTTGTTCATGTGGGAGATATCTCTGGAAGGATTACAAGTGTGGCCTCCTTGATATCTTTGCATGGGTTGTCAGAGAAATTACATTTACAGTGATTAGGGCCTAATGGTTTCCAGTGAAAGGATCCCTCTTCAAGAATTTAATTTCCTCTCAGCAACAGGGTAATGCATTCTTAGTTTCCAACTTGCATTTGGACTCGATATTGGCAATTTCTCGAGCAATTTCTCAGTTATATTGGAAAGTAGGTAATTTGTTATGCATTTCTAAAATGTAAAAGATAATGATTATATCAATAGTGTAAAAATAATAACATTGTCAAAGATGTCAAGTTTAGAAGTAAAAATATTATTATATTGTGTTATATCTTTATTTACTATACGTTTATTTCAGTTTTTTCTTTGAACAACTCGTCATATGGTTGGCAGCCAATAAACATAGTTGTATTTTCAATGATATCAAATGTTGATAAATCGATTGACATTGTTTTTAAAAAGAAACACATTTAGTTCTAATACATGACCCTTGCAAAAAGACACAATCAATAAATGTGTTCATTTTTTTTATATTTTCTCGAAGGATGTTTGGTGATTTCTGGTACAGCCAAATTAACAGATGTTTCTAAGTGCATTGTTTCTGTTAAAGCAATGATATTACTGTCCTGTTATGTAGGATTTTGTTAGGTATACAAATGGCTGGTTTACACCTTATTTTATGAGTGTTTTAAGCTGGTTTATGTGACTATTCCATGTGAGAATTGCCTCTAACTATGATGTAGTAGTGTCAGCTGATCTAAAGACCCCGCTCTCGTAGATTAATAAAGGCCTTGTCTTTTCATGTTAAATAGTATTATGAGGTAACATTGTTTTCTAATAAATGTGGAAAATTACCCAGATAGTTACCTTGTATCAAAAAAAGAAATTTGTTCTACCATTTAATGCTATAGGATCTAATACTTACTTATTGAGTGCAAGCACGGCTTGCTGTAAAAATGTTGAAAAATGATTGATTCAATATCTATAGGATTGTTTAATCAGGTACCTTAAGTGTGAGATATTTACAATATGAAATCAGTCTGAATCAGCAATTTTAATTGTTTGTATCATCCCAGGGGTATAAGAATTTAATATCTCCAGATAACTCAATACATTCTAAATAAAAACAGCAAATGGTCAATTAGGTAAATGTGTAATGGTGTTCCCTGTATTGAATCTGTTGACTCAGGTGTTTCATGAACTCAAGGGTCATTTATGGTACAATCTAGACCATCTGAGATATCCAGGCTAAGGTTAGACCTATCTTTGGTGGTCCCGGAATTTATTAAAATGAAACCGAGAAAGATTTTCTGACTTCACAAAAATCATATTACTTTGGACTGCGGTTAAGTCTGTCAGTCTGCTAAGTTCAGTAAAACCTTATTTTCTGTTTATTTCAATTGATTAATTTGTTGGCTCACCTTTTTTGAAAGTTACTTAATGGTTCAAGATTTTCTACATTTTTTGTAACCTCGAACATGGACGCATCTCAACTTTGCCAGCGAGGGCAGAAAACCCCACACCATTTGGTGCAATATTCTGATGAAAGCAACATATCTTGTAAAGTACTCCAAAAGATACGTCATGAAATCCAAGAGTAAATTTGATTCAGTTTTCAGTTATATTTTCTTCCTCACTGCATGATCAACGTTGTTCATGAGATTGAATTCTGGAAAAATATGTTGTAAGTACTGTGAAT